TTGCGCCCACTCCTCCATCTCGTCCGTGAAGTCGCGGCCCTCCTCCACGCTCCGGCTGCGTGCGTTCGCCTCGAGCTCCTCCATCGGCACCAGCGCGTAGTTCCTGTTGTCCCGCGTAAATGGCTTCACCATCGTGTAGTGGATCACGCGCATCTCGTCGCGCATTCCCGCCCACAGCGCCGGGCTGCGCGCCTTGATCGCGAGGTTTGCGTTGTAGACGTACGGGAGGCGCGCGACTTCCGCGCCGAAGAACATGTTCAAGAACGCCTGCTCCGCTTCGTGTGCGTCCGTGCCGGCCGATCCGATGCGCGCGAGCATCTCTTGGAAGACAGCGCGCGATGGCCGGAGGAAGAGCACGCCTGCGTTGAAGCCCAGCGTGAAGCCTTTGTGGTCCGCATACACATCTGGGACCGCCGCAAGCTGGAAGGGTAGCGCAAAGAGCTCGTCGAAGTTGCGTGTCGCGAGCGTGTCCGCATCGAGGTACACGACACCGCGCGCACCGGCCGCATCGAGCTCCCATATACGCAGCTTCGTATACTGGTCGACGAAGTGCGGGTAGACACCCTCGCCGCCGTGGGGTGGCGGGATGCGTTCCACGGCTCGCGGTTCGAACCCTGACGCGGAGGCGATGCAAAGTCCGCGCGCGGATACTTGCTCAGGGATGTAGATCGCGACACGCTGCGCGGTAGTATTGACGCGGTTGAGCGAGTGGCCTAGCGCTGCGATGGCGGTGGCGAACTCGTCCGTGAAGAAACTGGTCGCGATCACGTTCCCCGGCCCGCGCGTGGGATGTGGGTCGGACAGGGAGGTTTCGTCGACCACAGGGAAGTTGTGTCTGGCGGGGTGAAAAGGTATGGTCAGCTTCCGATTTCATGTACATGTCTGACCGTTGAATTCCAACCACGAAGCTCGACCGTGCAGAGACTGAGAGCGCACGCACTTAATGGGGTAAACAGAGCAGCCACAGCTGTGCCTGAACGGCTACCGTTTGTACGCCGGACTATCCGGCGGACCGAATCAGGAAGATCTCGCACATCCAAACGTTCTATAGTACTCTCATGAGTCCTGCAGCAGACCAACGTGTTTCCAGAGGATGGCTTGTTCCACTGTACGTATGACAGAGATATAGTTGAAACACTCACAGTTGCGAATAGTGATCGAGCGGCGTCTTCATCGGTCGGTGTACCAGCGTCCTCACCACCCAGAACACGTTCAGCGCCACCGAGATCAACAGTGTCCAGATAAGCCAGGTCCACGTTCTTGACCAGTCCACTACTGCGTACGGCCCTTGCGTGTACTTCCACAGCACCCTCATCGCCGCGGGCCCGAGTCCAACACCCGATCCAAGTCCGAGTCAGTAACCGTGTGCGTCGTGGTGGTAGGGTCCTAAGATGTATCCGGATACGAGCGTAGTGGCCAGTCAACTGTCGGCGAAGAGAGGAGGGGCCCGAAACGGAGGGAGAGGCGGGGAAGAGGTCGCGAGGGAGAAAGCGCGGATGAGGTAAAGAGTGCTTTCATGGTGGGTGGTGCGAGTAAGTGATATATGGGCAGGGTACGAGCGGGTAAGAACATTGAATGTAGTGGAAATTGCATATCACTGCGCCTGTGTCGACGTCGGAGCCGGCGCTGGCCGCATCGCTATGTACCGCTCCGCGATCACTCGTTTCGCACGCGCGCACCATGAGCTCAGAAGCTCCTCTTTCATATTTGATTTCAACTCACTGAGAGGCGCTCCGATGCCACCCCGGAGCATCTTCAGTGCCCACACCCGGCCAAAGGGTCAAGGTGGTGCCACAGTAGCTATATAATGATATACACAAGACATATACGCTGGGTGGGTATGCTACACGCGCACGGATCTACTGGGATACAGTAAGTACTTGGCACATTACGTTCGACGCATCGTTGCGGTGCAACTTCTGGACGGTCCTGGCGGTAACCGCTCACCGTGCATTGCACAGGTCATCATCCTAACATTAAGGAGTGACCCTATCTTTTCCGCATTGCGAATTCGTGCAGCTGTCATATCAGAGTCCCATGTTCATGCACGTAAATGGACCGGGGAAGCCTCCTTCCCGGTAGCCTGTGTAAAGAAGCGGTTGGGATACGATACGGGCAGTACCTCACTGCGTGTAACGTACCTTCGATGATACTGTTGATACTAGCGTACAATCCCGCAACCATGATAACCCCTCCCATCTGAAAGACGGTTTGTATTAGCCTCTGGTGAACTGCGGGTACGGCGGAATACGGACCAAGATGATGCCCGCCCAGAAGATACACTTCGCCTTCTGTTTGGGCGTCGTCCACCGCTCACCGCGGGGTGTCAAGTGGAACCAAAAAATACCCTGTCATGAGTGAGAAAGCAGCGCGGAAGATGATGGGGGCAACGCAACGTACAGAGATGCCGTACGTGAACCAGCTGTCGATCAGTGGCTGTCAGTACGCAGTCCCAAATGCTGTGCTTGGCGTCTACTCACCTGGCAAATACTGAACTGATCACACCGAGCAGATCATTGAAGAACGGGATCCTAGAAACCGATTTCGTTGGTCTTCGGTCGTGACACGATGGAGGCAGACACTTACACCTCGGCGATCACAAAGGCCAGTATCCAGATGGCAAAGCAAATGGCGATCCATGTCAGCCATCCCGTCCACGAGTGGGATGTCATATGTTTTGAGTGGACGCCGTTCCTGCGGAATCTGTCGGATAGCACAGTTGATGTCCATCAGCGTCGACCGCCGCCGGATTAGCGTGTGCTACGGAAGCACAGCTCACATTCTAATGAAGATCAACTTCGCGCAGACATGCCCGTTGATGACGCCGGCAATGAGGATCGTGGGGAGCGCAATGCCATACGAAACCTTTCTCAGCAGCGTCCCCGTGTTGCCAAGGGCAGGCGAGACAGTTCCAGCGCCCGCGTAGGCGTAGACGACTACGCCGACGATGAGATACAGCGTGGTGTCTGCGATCTGTAGCATGTACAGCGCTTTCGCGAAGTCCTGTGACTGAGTGAGCGTGACGCCCACAAATGATACGGGGGACGAACCTTCGGCTCCTTCATTTCGGCGATGAACGTGAAGAAACCAACGTGGCCTGACTCGCAGTAAGTTTAACAGTTCTATACCCAACGTCGTAAGGCGTACCGGCATATGCGAAGATCTAACACCGATGTCAGCGCCGTATGGGAAGTCGGGGAACTGATATATGCGTACGATGTCCGTAACCGCCAGGAAAGCGCTGGCGAAAGTAAGGCCCTCCGCTGATGCTTTGACCCCTCCCTTGTGACCCGCAACGCTGACACCAATCATCGTGATTAGGACAGCGGCTGAAGAACAAGAATAAATGGCGAACTCTCGCGGATAATCTGTGCGATACGTACTGATGATGGAAATGAAGGAAACCACGCTCATGTACGAGATGCCATTAAGCGTCCTGGGAAGCGTGAGGACGAGGCACACGATCGCAGCGACGGCCGCCCATAGAACAGAGCAGGAAGCACCGGCTGTAACTGCACAGCGATAGTCAGCTGCTCGTCCCCGGTGATAAAAGCACATACGTACTCGTGTCAAAGGCGATGAGTCCCGTGAGGACATGGCTGCCGCAGATGAAAACCAGGAAGACGGCCTGCGCGCCGCCAAGCACCTCGCGCCCAATGGGCCCAGCGAGGATTTCGCCAGCGTCGGCCATATTGTGGACGTGCGGGTAGCGCAGCTTGAACAGGCCAATCATGTAGCCCGTAGCCGTCGCAATTGCGCCGAGTCCCTGTGATACGGCATGAGCGCGTGATGGCGGCAGGCGTTCCTAGCAATGCATACGATAACCAATATAATTCCTGCTGGAAGGCCGATGGTCGCGAAGACGGAGGGGATGGAGAGGATCTGGAGGAAGATGGGTGAGGGATATTGATCCCACAGTGTTGCTGAACGCGTACACCGAGTGATACCGTCTCCGCAAGCATGAGTGCGGCGGCTTTCCACCACACCATGGTGCGGTACTTTACTAAAGACTGGTAAGTACGACTGGCGTCGATGATGTAGATATGTGTGCTCACTTTCCGCTGCTTCTTCATTGCCATAGACGTCAAAAGAGTTCCCGTCCGTCTGCACGTCCGTCTGTGCTTGTTTTTCGTGTTTCGCTTCCGATATACTAACGCTTCTTCGCGACATGGCCGGCTATGGTGCGCACGACAGAGAGGAGAGCGGAGAGAGAGAGCAGTGGTGGTGGAACTGGAGCAAGGGGCACCAACTGGGGTGGGAAATCATGCTGGACATGGTCAGCTGGCGAAGAAATCGAAGCCGACGGCTGCGTAGCGCGTTGGGCCGACTTGAGCCTGTACGGAAATGCCATGGATGAAGTCATCTGGAAGTCATCCGCAGAATAGGAACACGCGCAAACGCCCAAGCTCCCCCGGTCATGCCCACGCCACGGAGAATGCCCGGCTATCCGCTCTAAGCGGAGTAACGCCGAGCCCCCTCTAGAGGCTTCACGGGCACCTTCAACAAACACATATCATATAACGCCATGACCTGTAGGAGAAGCTCCAGAGTTTTTACTTGGAGGTGTCAATGATTAAGGGGAAATATGCAATGTTATGTTGTCCCGCCGGACAATCCGTTCTACACTGGCAGAACCTCTTGATCGCTGTACACAAATGGCCAACCAATCATCGGTCTGCCCTAAGTCCGCAACGATCGAGCATCGGGTTATAACAACCCTGGGCCGTGTGTAGACACATAACCTGGGGTACCAGTCTTGTTCCAGTCCCCACAAGGCGGCTGAAGCAGCTCAGAAAGTATATGACATGTCCGAGCACGCCCGTCAACCTGCGGAGGCTACCGGACGATCGGGCAGCGAGCACCGCCTTTCATTTAAAGTTCGTGCACCGATGTCATCGATTGGGAACGATCAGACAGCTTGACAGTCACGTGAATGCGCTGCCTCCCTCCGGGAACACCCGGGAAATTCGAGAGAAAATGATGAAAAATACAGAAAACAATCCTTCGAACCGGGATCGAACCAGTGGCCTTGGGATGTGTGCGTTAACCCATTACAGTCCCACGCTCTTCCAGCTGAGCTATCGAAGGATGTTGTAACGACGTTGGGTTCATAACTTGAGCCGACGGTGTTTGGTGTGTACCCTGAGCAACCTTATTCTCGACAAGTTCCCGATCCAGCAAACGTTCAGCCAATCGGCGAACGCCGGTTGAGGAATATCTGTCCAGCGCCTATTGACACCACGAGCGCCTGTTCAATCCCTCCAAGCTCCCGCTCATCCTTCGAACTCAAGTACTTACTCACTCCTCCGAGTCTTTACGCTGGCATTTGCAGTCGATCCCCGCTGAATCACTTGGCATTATGCTTCGAGGGGCCACGCGGGTAGCCGCATCTGGTCGCGTCGTTGGCAGGAGGTTCCTCTGGCAAGCTGGCCGCACTTCACAGCGCCCAAGCTCAGCTCTGGTCTTGACCTCCGCCTCTGCGGTTGCTGCGGGTGCTCTATGGTACGCCACGAATGCGCAGGATATCATTCACAATGACGCGCCGTCGACCTCCGAGGTCCAGGCAAAGGGCGGTGTGAACGGGAGGACAGAGAGTGCGGGTGCAGAACTGACCACCCTGGTATGGGGTGCTAACAAGTGCGTACCCATATGTATGCGTGTATGCGTGTACTGACATGTTTCCAGGGCACATATACTGGAAGACGATCTTCCCGAGTCTGTCCGTGTGCCGACACCCTCGGAGTGGTTCGACAATGTCGCGCTGCGGGACCTTGCATTGCATGAGCAGCATGCCGCCTGTGTCGATGCGCGAGGGGACATCTACCAGTGGGGCGACGGCTTCTTTGGCAATGAGCCTGGCTCCTCTCACACTAAGCCGCGTGTCACTCTCCGAGGCAAGGTGAGTGGTAAACGTTACGGTCTGAACATTCACTTATCCCACTTTCCCCTGCACAGAACATCACTCAGCTGCAGCTGACGCGCTCGCGTGTCTTTGCACTGTCTGCCTCTGGAAGGGTATACGTCCTTTCGTCGCGTCAGGCCGAACAGGCTCTCCCTGCGGGCGCGCCAACCCCCGCAAGTACGCCATGGTGGGGAACCGGGTGGCTTTGGGGGGAGGAAGAGGAAGTCAACTTTGCTGAGATTACTCCGAACGAGGGTCTTAAGCGAGGCGAACGGTACGTTACATCTCTCTTCCCCCACTTAGACGGCAAGGCGGTACTCACGCTGCGTGGCAGATTTGTTCAAATATCTGCGGGGACGGACCACATGCTGGCGGTGACGTCGGAAGGCCGCACCTTTGCACACCCAATCACGCTCAGCGCAAACTCGCACGGCCAGCTCGGCTTCCGCAAGTGCGACGTACCCTCCCCCGTCGACCTCGAGCACTTCCACCTCCCGCACAAGCACCCGCGCATACCGCTCGAGCTCACTCCCAAATCCATCGCGGACCCCTACGCGAAAGCGAGCCCCGCCACCCGTCCTGCAAGTTCGCCCGCACGGAGTAGCGAGGCGCTAGTGGGCAAGGAGGCGGTCGCCGTTGGACTGGACGAGGCGAACATCCGCTTTTCTGATAGGCTCTTCGAAGTCCCTGCTTTGAAAGGGGTGAAAGTGGACCGCGTCGCTACTGGCGGACGGAGTAGCTTTGTCAAGACCGCCGCCGGCAAGGTCCTCGGATGGGGCGCAAATGAGTTCGGGTACGCAGAGTGACCCCAGAACGTGTTGTATCGCTTGCTCAAGCATTCCATGATCTGCAGACAAATCGGCCTAGGAGGCAACGTGACGCTCGAGACCATCACCGTCCCCACGGAAGTTATCCTGTGGCGAGCGACCCCCGCGACAATGCGGACGACATGCGTCGACGTCTTTGCGGGTAAGTGTGCAAGTGCCTGTCTATGTTTCAGACGACAAGCTCATTCACGCGCGTGCAGGCGGCGACCTTACGATGTTCGAGGTGGAACGCTCGGACGGCTCGGGGATGCCGTATATCGACGTGCTCGCATGTGGGAACGGCCAATATGGCGGTCTGGGCAACGCGATGTATAGCAATTCCCAGGGCACCCCGGTCCGTGCCAAGAACGTCAGCGGGCTCTATGAATGTGAGCTTGGACCTTGATGACGCGTACGGCAGGTGCTGATGCTTTCGGTTCTGCAGATAGTGAACGTACCCAAAACCTGCAGGCCATAGCGCCTGAGCGGATTTCAATCTCTCCCACCGGCCACGTCCTGCTCACGCTCGATACCCGGAAGCACTCTGGCCCTGGCGGTGGCGGTAAGGATGTGGTGGTCTGGGGTGCGAACTTCGAGTACCAGCTGGGGAATGGAAAGCGGGGGAGCTTGCCGACGCCGACGACGCTGCTCACCCCCGAGGGAGAACGGTTCATGCTACAGCGGAAGCGTGCGTCGGCAGTACGGGACCTGCAGGGGCAAGTATGGAAGAAGGGCGTCGAGGTAGAACAGCACGCAGTGGCAGGATGGAGCAACTCGGTCGTGTACTGGAGGATCTGCTCGTAGCGTGGTTCGTGGGTTGGGTCGCAGGGGCGGATAGGCTATTCCCGCGGTCGGCCATAGCGGGCCTGTAATTGGGTTGATAGACAGCCTATTGTTATAGCGCTCCGGAAGCAAGAGACCGCAGAGGGCAGGCAGTGTCCCGCGCAACGAGAGTGGGCGATCTGACAATGGGAACGTTCCGCGGCGGGGCCTATCGGGCACATCATGCGCGGGTACTAAAACGGCTGGGCCATTGCCCTTCGCGCGTTCCTCATGTCCTGACTACCATCCGCTCACCTTTCCTGACCAGCCTCGCGCCCCAGTAGCTCGCCCTCCTCTCCTCGAGGCACCTGCGGTTTCAGTGTGGGCCTGATTTACGGCCTTCAGGCTTCAGCACGCACCCTCGTGTCTTGGCCCGCAACATTCCTATCTGCCCGGGCCCACCGTGCGCCCTATATAGTCCACACTCCGCGCCCACCTCGTTTCCCTCGTCGCCTTCTCCCTCCCGCAGGCCCACCATGACTTCGCCTCTCCGCGCGCTCTCCCCGGGCTCTTCGCTCTCCTCGTACGACTACTTCTCCTCGCACTCGCGCCGTGCGTCGCGGGATGCCTCCTCGGACGAGTCCTACGGCACCGTCTCGGACGATGCCTCTTCCGACGACGAGATCGTGCTCTCCTTCTCCGACATCTCCGCCCTCGATGTCCTCTCGCAACGTGGGGACGATCCGCGGAGCCCCGCGGTGTTTTCCGACGATGAGTTCGTGATCATGAGCCGACCACGCACCCCGCGCGAGGACGATCTCGCAACGACCTTCTCCGCTCTCTCTGTCGGTCCCTCCGGCGCGCGATCTGCCCTGCAATCGAGTGCATCGAGCAGCTCGTCGTCCTCGAAGTCGTCGCGGAGGCGCGTCAAGAAGAAGCGGGCGGCGGCAGCAGCCCCTGACAACGGCGTTCCAGCGCCGAGCGCGAGCCCTGTGAAGGCCTCCAAGGCGTCGCCGAAGTCGCAGAGCCCCTCCAAGGCGAGGAGAAGGGCGAAGCGAGCGTCCGCGCGCTCGGCCAGTGTGCAGAGTTTCGCGGCTCTTGCGGGTCTCGGCGACCGGCCCATTGTCGACGACGTATCGGAGGCAGGGACCGAATACCCCGCAGTGTACGTGCCGCCTGCGGTGTACGAGAGCGCGCAGACCTTCGTCTCATCGTGAGTCCATTCGTCTATGCCATGCTCTCATTTACTGACAGGGAGCGCGCGGTTGCCAGGGTGCTCTCTGCGGACCCGTCCATCAAGGCGGGCATTCCGAAGCTCGCGTTCTTACAGGCGCTGATTATCGAGCTCGGTCTGTGCCCCACCGTCTCCGAGCAGACAGAGGTCGCGGCGGTGTCCTCGTCTTTCTTCTCGCTTCCGTCGCTCCCGAACTCGATGCGCGCCGCGAAGGCGCTGCTGAAGTCGCAGGTGTTCCTCAACGTGCGCGACTATCTCGCGGTGCGCTCGCAGGGCGTAGACGCGCTCCGGAGCGTTATGCACCCGAGCCGCTCCGCGCTCCTGCGCGATATCCGTGGCGGGCGCAAGGAACCGGTCAAGTCCGTGAAGGAGAGTGGGCTGGGTGTCCTCCTCGTAACATGCTACCGGTGATCTACCACCACCCTCCACAGCCATCGCGCCGCGCAATGCTGCTTGCAACGCCTACGTTTTTTGCAACTTGCACTCTGAGCATCCTCGGCTCGCGATTCAAGACTTGTCCATAGAGCTCCCCCCACCTCCAGGACCGTCTACCAGCGCCTCGTAATCCCTTCATTCCTTGCCTTGCATCTATGTCCACGACCCTCATTGCATCAGTCTCTTGTCCCATTGCTCACGTTTGGTGGGCGCGGCCTGACCAGCCAGCAACTGCCCATGTACCATACTGTACCATCTTTGCACGTACCCGCTCCCTACTTCATGTACGTATCTGCTCGCCTGTGTATCTCTTCTGCTTTCGACCCCACCCCTTGCACCGGTTATCCGGATACGACGTTCCCTCTTGCAGCCCCTCTCCGACCTGTGTCGGCGACTCCTCATTGAATTTGTGTTCTTAGAATGTACGATATGACGCCGTCAATACCAATTTCATCAAGATATCTTGTCCGTTGCTCTATCACATAATAAGGTTCTCAGCTCCGCATCGTTCGCAGGATCATAAACCACAACAGGTTGTATCTCGAGTGGACCCGTTTGTGGTTGAGCATTCCTACGTCGGTGGATAGCAATGTAAACTCCTAACCACTTAATCACGATTGACGCGCAACATCCTGGATAGTAATGTTTGCCACACTCTATACACCTAGCATAGAGTACAGCAACAGAAACCCATAAGGCAAGAAGGCGTATAAAACGAAAGATAGGATCAGATTGGGTATACAAGGTCATCAGCGTCTATAGCCACGAACTGTCAGTCGCGACACGACAGATGGTGCGCGGTAGACAGCGGGATCATAGAGTCGCTCAGGCCGCCTGAGCGCCAGCGATGACGATCTCGGCGAGACCGAGGACGGCCTGGTTGAGGTGCGCGAGGGTGTCCGGGCCGGTGGAAGTGGTGAGCGCGGCGGGCGCAACGCTAGCGGAGGAG